TTAGACAGCATTTCTCTGGGAAAAATCAGATTAGACTTTTGACTTACAGCATATTTTCAAAGAAGGTCACCCAATAAAAAGTGTTTGAGACCTACCTTATTTATGGACGATAATATGATTCCAAATTACAGTAGGTTGTAAGCCTTTATTTTTTTTTCAATAAGACTACGTTATTTATGTTTATGCTCTGGCATATAGTTAATGCCTTTTTAAAAACCTCGTTGAAGTCCTGCATTTAAAATGTAATATCCTATGTGGGTGGCTTTTTTTTTTTTCAGTGAATGTTCTCATAACAAGTATATATTATTCTTTAAGGCACATAATTTTAAAATAATTATAGACTATACATATAAAATTATATGTACACATACATGTATATAATTGTGTGTGCGTATGCACATATATAGATATACACAAAATACATGTGTGTGCATATACACATGTAAAATATCTATCCATAAAATTATATGCAGCTACATTTTTAGCCGAGAGTGGATTACCAAAAGTAAAACCATGCTTCCAAGTATGATTGTATTTAAGGCTCTGGATACAGCCTTGGTGCTTTTCTTCTTGAGCTGGCCGCGCCCCTGTGGTCTCCTTACATCAGGCTTTACCTTGCAGTAACCTGATGCAATCTTATTTTTGTTGACAACTCAGGCACATCATATACCTACAGTCCTTAACATAATGCTTGGTCATTTTTACACCACCAAGTCCACTACCAGAAGCAAGCCTGCCCCATCCATTCTGTTTTGCTGCTGATCTCGTATATGCTTCAAGAGTCCTGGAGGTCAGATTTCCAAGCTTGTCAGGACTTACCATCCATCAGCACCCAGTAAGATTCAGAGGAGAGATCGCAGCAGTGAGTACGGAGTGCAGGTGCAGGTGATACCTAGTTTGGGGCTGGCTAGGATGTCTGGGGCCTTTCTGGTTAAGTGGGGTGCTGCTCTGATTGGAGTGCATGTGTAAGTGACATGTATGAAATAAATCTCACAGGAATCTGACCCTGAAAAGCAGCAGCTTGCTTTCCCCTACTACCCTACAATGTTGACCCAGTTTTATAGTTGTTCCCACATGATTTCCTGGGTTGGATTCCTTTAGGACTGTAATAACTTTTCTGTAAAAGTCTTCCAACTCCAAGTGGTCTTCTAAACCATGACATCATTTTCTTAGGCAAGGTAGCCACGTTTTTACATTCATTAAATAAAACCTATCTCAACTTTAGTTAAAAATCTCTTTTTCACAAGTAGCTATTGGAAGTGCTTGTCAATAGATTAGTTTGGGCAGATAAAAAGAAAAACCATAAAGCAGCAAAACAAAAAGAAAGATTCACCCAGTATCATATATTCTTGGTTTGGACTTGTTGGAAAGCCATAATATTTTAAAGGAGTCGGTTTCCCAGCTGGCATTTCAGTCTTCTGCACTCTTCCAACTATACCTAAACTATAATCAGAAGTAAAGCTGATGCAGATGTACTGTTTATAAGGTGTGCATTCATCATTTTAGAATCACAGTAGTATAGATATGAAACTATTGCCGTTGGGTTTGCGGAGGTGATGGGAGAAATATTGGTTCCCAGATGAGGCATAGCAGAGTAAATCTCAAGAGAGTGTGTGTGTGTGTGTGTGTGTGTGTGTGTGTGTGTGTAAGCGTGTAAGCTATACATGCAGGGTTTCAAACCACCATTGAGACAGCGGCATGTAGGGCTTTAGCATCTCACAGCATGACATCATGGCCCTGTGTCCCTATGCCCACTGGCTCTATGGAGAGAAGCTGTGCTTGCCCACCAGCACCAGGAAATTCTGTTAAGTGCAGTGCGTTCCTTTAAATTTTTATTTCAGGTTACGCTTTGCCCCCTCCCCCCACCTTATATCTTATCAAGGTCACGTTTCTTATTTTGTGATAGATCACTGTATAAAGTAGACCTGAAGTTACAGGCCATCAGTGGAATCCTTTTTTGGAGGAGGGGAGTGGGTATCACTTTGGTGATGGGAAGCAATTTATACTTAGGCCTCAAATTGTGTACAATGACATAATGGAAAATGCCTTGGGGGTAGGGTAAGCATTTCAACAGAAACAGAACACCTTCTGCAAACCACTATACAATTAGTCCATTGTTCTGTACTTTAAAAAAATACATAACTTTCCAGCACTGGGGGGGTTGGGGGGGGGGGGGAGCACTTGAAAAGGTATATTGAAAAAGCCTTTGCTTGGCTTAAGTTGATAAAGAAATGCCAAGAATTCATAACTATCAGGCAGCTGCACTTCCACTTTTTCTTATTTTTCCCCCCATTTACTTGAGGGAAAAATACATTAACTGCAGTGATTCCTTAGCGAGTGGTCACAGCGACTCGGTGCGTCCTGTAGGTTATGTGCCCCAGGACCGCCTGGCATGTCCTCCTGCGCTGCCCGTCAGATCCACGGCCTCTGATCGGGGAGGGGCAGGGTCTGACTGCAAGGAAAATGCTCCCACCCTGTGTGGAGGAGGAGGAGGAACACACATGGAGGAATTAAGTTCTGAGCAGTGAGGCACCGAGAGTTAGTTAATACTGGGGAGAATTTTTCATTTTTATGGAGAAGGGCTTCTCGATCCTGGATGGATAATGA